AGTTATATTAATTAAATTCACTATTTATTATCTACTACTCGCTTTTGCTATTCACCACCTGTTATCTGTTGACCATCATTTGCTACTTGCGATCACTAACTACTAATTTTAATTGTTATATCAAACAAACCCTTAGTTAGAATGGTGTGAAATAGGTTTTGAAAAAATGAATGATGATTGTTCAAAAGCCTAACAGATTCTACTTATCATAGATTTCTTGATTTAACACCCATCAAGTATCACTATACACTTACCATAAGAAAACTTTTGTGGAATATAACTAGTCCCGGTAAGTTTCGAACTCTCCCATTGATTATTATAAGGTGTGATTCCTACCATTTGAAAATATCATTGGGGTCACTGAGTCCTACCAATAGATTTTGGGCTGATGTTTGGGTGGGGAATGGTTCTCTTAAGGACTCTTGGGTTGCCAGGAATCAAAATGGTCTGGTTATGGATATGGGAGCTTGGTGCCCTTCCTTTGCTTTGGGTTAGGGATGACAATTTTCTCTGGTTCCCTCCCCACGAGCTCTGCAGGGATCCCTATCATAGGAGTGGAGCAAGGAGGCATATTGCTTTTTATGGGGTGAGGACGGGGAGAGTTTTTCCCCTATGAATTTATGTGGAGAATTTTTCTTACCTTATGGGTCCCATGAGGATCCCTATCCCCACAAGAAATTTAAAAAATATATATAAATTAATTTTATTTTAAATTTAATCCAATTCAATATATCAATACATTTTAAAGCCAACTTAATTATTCATATTGGATTTGATCTTTATTTATATTTGGACAATTTATATTTGATTTTACCACTTGTCTATTAACCTTATTGGTTACAACTAATTGTATTTTTGCAATATGCTAATATAGAATTTAGATGTTATTACTATTGTATAAGGAATAAATTCGTTGGGTTAGTTATCTATATTGGATTTATCTTTATTTACATTTAGACAATTTATATTTGATTTTATGTTTGGAAAACTTTAGTTAATTATGGTTGAACTTTTAGAATTTTATTCATTATAATTAAATATTAGTTGATTATATAAGCAAAAAAATTATGTTTTAGTATAAATTGGTAGAGAATGGGGACGGAAGGCAAAATCTACTCCCTATGAAAAATCCCCATCATTCACAAAGACATGAACCTTGAGGGACTTCCTAACCCCACGGAACTTTGTTGTCATCCTTACTTTGGGTTTAACAATATACTCACTCTATCTTAAAATAATAGAGGTTTTTTTTACTTTGTATTAAAATTAAAGATTTAAAGATAATTTCTATTGTTACTTATTTTTTCTTTAAAAGAAGAAATAAAATTAAAGAGACTTTTTTATATAGGATTTGATAATTAAAATTAAGTGATATTTATAAGATTATATAGGAAAAAAATATTTTTCCTTTTTAAAAAAACAACCATTATTCTTGACAAAATCTTAAAATGTATATATATATATATATATATTATTGTGAGAGAGAAGAAGTAATAATAATGAATAATGGTACCTTTCTTAAACAGTGACCTTAAATTTAAGTTCTGGTTTGAGCTTGGATTGGGTCGCTTCCCTTTAGCCTGCCCCTATCTTGAATATGTAAATTAGCTCTGTATAATATGCTCTGCATTAGTTTAATCCCTTGTATTAGATCCCAGCAATAGTTTTTGAACCCAGTGATTTTCATAAATGAAGTAGTCGCGAGGGCCAATTTGGTGTTCTGAGAATCTACACCGCATGTTTAACACTTGATAATTTGACTTGACGAAATGATCTAATAATTATGAATATGTTTTTTTTTGTTTCCATTAAGAGACATCCAAGAGCTTGTTCTGCAAGTATGATTTTGCAAAATCACCTTACAATCACTGTAAAACTGCGGATGTGTTCACCAAACAACCACAAAGAAAAAGCTTGAACCTGAACAATGTATTAGAATGAAAAAAAGGCTATAAATTGCTCCATGGCATCATCTTATTAAGCTATTGATGTTTCAAATACATGTAATGTAATGAATGAGATGTGCTCCCGCACAACTACCCAATATATAATATAATAGCAAAGGAAAATTGTAATCTCAGATTAAACCCCTCTTCTAATGGAGAGATAGAAACGGCTAGAGTCAAGCCACATGGGGTTCTCGTCAGTTTTCTACTGTGGACTTCTGTGAACTCTTCAGTAAACCCCTTGGCCTAATATCCATCACCTAATATCCATCACGGTGTGCCTTTTGCCATCTCCATGCAACCTGCAAGCTCTCTTGGAGATTCGTATATTTCGCTGTCCAGTTCAAGTCAAGCCTAATCTTAGTTGGGTCACTATACACTTCAGCATAGTCACCAGGTCGACGAGGCAGGTATTCCACTTTGATGTTCATGCCAGTTGCCATTTTACATGCCTCTACAAACTCCTTCACAGATCTACCTTTTCCGGTGCCAACATTGTAAATTCCTACCTTATGGGGCTTTGCCTTTTCAAGAGCTTTCACATGAGCATCAACAAGATCAGTAACATCAATGTAGTCACGGATACAAGTGCCGTCATGGGTTTTGTAGTCTGTCCCTTTAACCTGCAGAGAAGCCAAAGCATCACGTGAACAAAATTCTTGGAATTCCATTCAATATTAAAATCACCAAAAGGCTTTAAGACTATCACTAAAGGCATAATAATTGGCATGTGCAGTAACAGGTAGGATACTACTATAACAACTCACACCTATTTCTAAAATACCAGTTCTATAATAAATTTATCTGGACAATAAGTGGAACAAGGCAGCATGTGAAACCATCAGCAGCCAAGAAAATAATATTCCACCCAACTCTGTAGTGTTTATCAGAATGTCCCAACAATTGTCAGGCAGCTGAAATATTTTATATTTAATTCAAGTTAAGTTATTCATTTTGAGATGTTTCAAGTTTCATCCAAGCCATGAACTCATATTAGAATTAATCCCCACATCAGCCCCCCCTTCTTGTGCCCCTCAAAATAACTATTTTTTTAAACATCAGCCACAGGTCTTCTAATCCCCTCTAGCATTCATCAAGCAGGCAAATGACACACCATTTTACCACCACAAAATGCCATTAAAAAAGAAGGCTTTGTTTTGATGTTTGGAGTTTTCTAAAAGCTGTTTTCATTCATTTACTATATGTATACTTATAAGTACATTTCCTCATCAAAAATTTATCCAGATATACACACCATCTAAAGAAGGAAAAACCAATGGGTAAAAAGAGAATAGCAGTACCTTGAGCCCAGAAATAATGCCACGAGCCGCATCGAAACAGGCACCTGAAATTCGTCCATGCTCACGCAACTCAGGTCTTGGAGCTTCTCCCAACCTTCCCTCAGGATCTGATCCAATCACATTGAAGTATCTGGAAGGAATTGATCAGAAAGAAATAAATTTATAAGCATCAGGGAAATTGAGATAGCAAAAATTTTAATCTCCAAAGAGAAAAAAAGAGAGAACAAATTCCGACTGTCCACAATTATAGTGATAACCCCACCTTCAACATGAACTCATAGAACATGAGGTGCTACAAGTCTCAAGAATAATACTATCCTAACCCAATATTTAATTCTAGCCACCCCTAATAGGTGGCATATGAATTTACTATCTATAATTATCATAAAGAAGCCAGATATTTTCTTATATGAACTGGATGTGCCACCTAAGCCTTCCATACAGTCAACAGAATCCAACCCCCACCCACCCACCCACAGACATGGACACAGAAAAATATTCCCATTTCTTAAGAAATAAACTTCACCAATCAAAAACGGTTTAAGTCCAAATCAATTACTGAAGCCTAAGCAGGAAGATTTAACCAGATAATGGCTAAAAAAATGAATTAAAAAATGAACTCTAGTGGAAAGATTTGCAACTTTTGATAAAAATTTTCAACAAATGAGGGTTTAAAGGGTGGGATCAACAGAAGCACTGAAAATTTCATTAAACTCATTTCAACCATATTCCCCCTTGCAGGCAAGGAGAAAAACAAAGAGGGATAGAAACAATAAGAAAACTACAAACTTAGGTGTCAACTAAGATGCAAACCTCAAGATCATAACTGCCATATCTGAATTTTTAGAGAAATCCAGGATAATATCCTCTGCCATCTTCTTAGCTTTTCCATATGGATTGATTGGGAGCTGAGTTAATTGCAAAACAAAGATCAGATGCCAGATAATCTTTGGAACATAAAAATCAAATGAAGTTGATGACATCAATCTCATACTTCATTGGTCTCAACAAAAACATGATAACTGTTCAACTATATAGTTGAGTTTGAACTTACCTGGGGAGTGTCTTCTGTAATTGGCATATTTTCAGGTTCCCCATATGTGGCACAAGTACTCGAATATATCAAAGTCTTAACACCATGAGCAGCCATCGACTCTAATACTACCAAGGTATTTGAAGTAATGTTGTGATAATACCTGCACATAGTAAAACACATAACCAAAGCCATTAATTTGGACATAACAAAAGCTGTGGCTAGGCTAGATGGACAGCTAGAAAAACATTTCAAAACTATACTCCCTGATTACATATTTCTAAAGCAGAGATTTGGAATGGATTCTCCCTAATTCTCAAAAGCAACATCTATTACATTTTTTTGACTTCATAGATTTCAAAAATGGTGTTAAAAAGTGATGGTGTTGAAACATTTTTAAAGACTGGGCTTACTACCTTAGAGGCTAAAATTAGTACTGTATAAACAGCGGTCAGGAATAAGGTAAAGAAGAACAGTTCTTTCTTTTGAAAAGTTTACCAAAATCCTAGTTAACACAGTTACTGCCTTCCCCCTAACCTCCCTTAGTCATTAGTATTGGTACATGCAAAAGCAGAACAAACTATCCGTTCAATTTAACTTTATTACTTGACTGGAAAAAACAATGCCAACAATAATTCATAGAAATACTTACTTAAGAGGATCGAGTGTGCTTTCCCCAACATATGCAACAGCTGCAAAGTGCATGACAGCGTCAAATGCATTTTCTGAAAATATTTTGTTAACCTAATAATATCGATTAAGGACACCAAAACCCTGACTTGAAATCCTATACAGAAATAATTCAAACCAAATAATAAAAACAAAAAAGATTACATAAACTCATGAAAAGGATACAGCTTTTGCATTGCCTAAATCAGCATAAATGAACTGAACTCTTCCAGGTTCTGGAAATAATTCTTGGAGAACCTTCACAGCACCTATGTTTCCTCGTGAAAGATTGTCCTGAATTTAAAAAAAAATAAAAAAAGGCAGATTCTTTCACTTCAAAAACTAAAAGAACGAGCATCTGCAAGCTGCAATGACTAAAGGAGAATATTGTTACATTCCAAAGAAGAATTCATACCACAATCGTTACACGGTAAGAATCCTTCAGAAGTCGTAAAGCAGCATGTGAACCAATATATCCAGCACCACCTGTTACTAGAACATGAACTACACCTTCTTGACGTTCGGAGAACTGCAATGCCAGAAATCAATATTAAAAAAATCTTAGAATTTGAAATATTATAAAACTGCACATGATACAGAAATCCATCATACCCTCAATATTCAAATCATAGCAAGTAATGTGAGAATACTCTTACCATAAATAGCAGAGATTAGAGAATTGAGATGAGAAAATGAAAATACTAAAATGTAGTAATATCTTTAGATCAACAAATTTTAAGCATGAAACACTCACATCAAGAAACAGTAGTTAATGTTATGATTTACAATGACAGCAAGTAAACGTCAAAGTGATGTTAATCATGACCAAAGGGACAGGATACATGGATCCGATGAAACACTTTGAACAAACTAAGAAGGAAACTGACAACATGCAATGATGAATTCAGAGAAAATAAAAGGCCTAATGTTATTCTCAAATGACACATGGCATTGAGATTCCAGAATACTTAATTCATATGTAAGACTACATTTTTAAATACTGACCAGCAACCAATAATTGTTGATCGTTTTGCTTGAATGATAAAAATTAAAGATATCTGAAAATTAAAGAAGATATTTGGAAATGAAATACACCACAAAATCTTTTGAAACAAAGGTCTCAACATTAAAAAACCACTCTGTATTTTGAAATTCAATGCTATTGTGAGTGATTGTTCAGAGAAGGCTGAGAAGTTGTGTTGATTAACAGGTTAAAAGTGGAGACAAAATAAACAAAGAGCAATGTCCTTGCAGATTTTCCTGAAATACAAATAGAATGCATGCTAAGGAGAAACAGATTTACATACTGGGCTTGGGGTATTGAAAGTCGATGACTGCTTAAGCATAATGATGCATAAGGCTGTAAGGGTTGCCGCCAAAAGGATTTTCCCCACAAAATTGCTCTTCCTTTTGGGGTCTGGGTAGTCCATACCTACATGCAAAACAAAATAAAATGCAATTTTAGAAAAATAAGAAAGCCTATTTCTTTATAATTTGGGCACTGAATAAAATGTTAGGCAAGTCCCACAACAAAAACACTAGCTAAATCGCAAACATATCATGGCAAATTGTCAAAATAAATTCAAAATGGAAAGTAAGAAGAGAAAAAGGAGATGCCTGTACGTTTCTCTTGAAAATATGGATCATCCCCTGTTAAAGGAATGCATCAGCATCCCATTTACCAGAAATTGCCACTAAATTAAAATAGATGATTACTCTATAATGTAAGCAGAAACCATGGAGAAATTGACCTAAAACTAAAGTAGCATAATTTGAAAAAGAAAACATGATAGGCACGGAATTGAAGTTTAGAGAAAAATCTCACCGCCACCAAGAGGAATGGATCTAGTAGACCTTGACTGACCTCTTCCCCTACCAAAATTTAGCATTTGCATTTGCAGAAGCTTTTAGGATTCTAATGAATTGTTTATACAGAAACTAAACCGAATTTTTCAATCTAGGCAACCAAGCAAGACGAAGACCCCTCTCTTGAATATGCTGTAACAAGAAAAATCAAACAATTATTGATCTATTTTCAAACAGGAAAAAATAAATAAATAAAACGAGAACACAAACGCCATAGCAGAATTATGAAAAGAAGAACGTACAACTACAAACAAAATTAATATAAATGGGCCCTGGATGAAACTAGAAAAGGAGAGAAGAAAAAAGGATAACAAAAAAAAATTAAAAAAAAAGAATGGAAAAAAATAAAAAACTAAATAAATAATAGAATTTTACAAACTGGAATAGCCTTAGAAAGTGAAATTTCATCACCTAAGAGAGACAGAAGAGAGAATTCAAGATCCAACACAATCAAGGAACATGCTTTGAAAAAAAGAAAAACAAAAAAAAAAACAAAAACAAAATTGAATTAATCTCTCTTTTTTCGGTGGGAGGAATTCATTGACATCGGAATTCTTTGTCAGAGCATGTCAGCCCAGAAACTGAAAAACACCAAAATTCAAACCCAGATACCAAAATCAGAATTAGCATAAACAAAACCACCTCCGGCTAAAACGAAACAACATATGAACATTTTCGCTTAATAGAAGCAGACCCATATACGGAAAGAAATCCAGAATCTCTAATCACCCAACAACAGCATCGATTACAGTGATCAAACCCCCCAGAGAGAGAAAACGGAACAAAAGAAGCGATGCAGTTATTAAGGGGGGGGGGACCCTTAACTGGACAAAAACGTTTTAAATGCTAAATAAAGAACCAGGAAAATAAAAACAAAATAGCAGTGGTGGCATTGAGATACCAAAACACAAGGCAAAAGACAAACCCTGAAAGAAACAGATGAGCCAAGGAAGCTCCGTTTTTTTTTTTTCCCCTATCAAGGAAGATCCACAGGGAAACAGCAGATATATAGGGAGGAGACGCACGCTCAACGCAGCAAGAGGAAGAGAGAATGTGGCGAGGAGATAGATAGATAACGTGAAAGGGAGAACGAGGAGGCAGAGAGATTTGACGAAAGAAAACGTTGAATGCAAAAGGAGAGACTGGGTCCTGGTCTCCTGGGTACGTTTGATTTTGAATGCAGGGAAGTGCAGGGAAAGAGGAGAGAGAGAGGTCTAATAGGCGCAGATTTTTCTATGTCCATTATGTCAGGTGCAAATGGGGTGATTTCAGGAAATTAAAACGCTTCCTTCCCTTATTATTATTATTATTATTATTGACTTAATTTATTTTTATTTTATTTCTTTCTCTCTCTTTTTTTTAATTTATGACAAGTTATTTATTTATTTATTTATATAAATTAGAAAAAAAAAAATCAAGATATCTTATATTAAAAAT